GGGACAGGTGCACAGCGTTGCGCTCCTCAGAACTGCTTGCTCAAGCGAATCCATGTGCGCGCCGAGCTCGGTGCACGCAAGCAGCCCGGGAACTACTCACATGCTTATAATTAAGGCGCAGCTCTTCATTATCCTGCTTAATGGGGGCTGTTGGACACCCGTCACTCGCCCTGCTTGGGCGCCTTCCCGCATCCCGGCGCGTTTTTGGGATGAGCGGCACGAGCAAGGACCGCGCGCAGCACGGGGGCGCCCCCGACACCCCGCTCCGTGGTGCCCAAGGGGCTCTCCGGACATTCCCATTGCCCGCGGGATGATGCGGTGGCCGCGCTGGTGTCACGGGACCAACAGGATCTCGGCAGGACATCCCACGGATCCCTTTACCCGCATCCCGACTCGGGGAACGACATTCCCAGCATGCCGGCAAGGTTATCCGGCTGGCCACACAGGAGGACACTGAGCGACCTACCCTGCTCCAGGTCTTCGTTTCAGGGGAAAAACAAGTAAATAAATAACCAAAATTGGCTCCCTGGGGCAGTCCGGTCACACCGAACCCTCTGGGACATCCCACACCGAGAGAGGCTCCGAGGAGAGTTCCCAAAGCGGATGCCTCATCCCGGATCCGATCAGATCCTAAGCAGCGGCCACCAAAACACAAGCGGAGATACCGATATTACGTAAGAGGCACATGCGAAATTCCCACGGAAGCAGAAATTTGGGGAAAAGGGAGAAAGAAAAAAGACAGAAACGACCCTGCAGAAACGGGTCTGTGAAACACCGGAGAGTTGAGAACAGGCAACGCGGCGCCTCGCGGCTCCGGAAAGCGACCCGATTTTGGGGCGAAACTCCCCATCCCGCGACAGGGCGACGCCTCCCACGATCCCTATCCCTATCCCGATCCCTCCCCGGGATCCCGGGATACGACAGCGCCCGTGTGTGTCCGTGTGTGTCCGTGTGTCCGTGTGTGTCCGTGTGTCCGTGTGTGTCCGTGTGTCCGTCCCGCACCCCAGTCCCGGCTCCGCGCGGAAACAGGTGAACGCGGCAACGGCGCCCGCGCGAGTTGCGCAACACGGGGAAACACACCCGAAACGGGCGCTTTGCGCCACTTCGGACCTTCTTAACCCCCTTGACACATATATATATTTTTAAAAAAGCGCTGAGAGGCGCCGCTGCCGCGCGAACGCTTCGCCGCACGCCCCCGGCTCGATAAATAAGTTAAATGGGAGAAATTAAGGGGGGAAGTAAGGAAGCCGCCCCCCCGGCCGCCCACCTGCGTGTAGAGCTGGGCCGCGGACATCGCGGAGCGCCGCGCACCGGGCGCCTCCGCGGCGGCGCC